CGAAATGTGCTGCCCAGTGTCAGAAAGCTTGGTCTCAGTCACAGGTTATGAGTCCTTCAACAGGATAATGACCCAAAACATACAGATAAAAACACCCAAGAATGGCTAAGAAGAAAACATTGGACTGTTCTGAAGTGGCCTTCTATGAGCCCTGATCTAAATCCTATTGAACATCTGTGGAAAGGCCTGAAACATGCAGTCTGGAGAAGGCATCCTTCAAACCTGAGACAGCTGGAGCAGTTTGCTCATGAGGAGCGGGCCAGAATACCTGTTAACAGGTGCAGAAGTCTCATTGGGAGTTACAGAAATCGCTTGATTGCAGTGATTGCCTCAAAAGGTTGTAAAACAAAATATTATGTTAAGGGTACCTTCATTTTTGTCCAGGCCAGTTTCATTAGTTTGTTTTTTAAAATGCTTCTGTTGAACCACAATTCAAAAGCTATGTCTGATTTTCATTAGTTAATTTTCAGAAAAATTTTATTTATTATTACTTTTGTCAGTTTCACATTATTTCAGCGACTATTGTGAGTTTCTCTTTCTTTAGCGGAAAGGTACCAACAATTTATTTATTTATTTTTTTTTTACTGCACACACCAATAAGGCTGTCTTAAGAACTATATATGTTGGCCAATCAAATATGGTTTAATGCACATTCCTGGGAGATAACTTTAAAATGATTATCTATAAATTTATCTTCATGGCATTATAAACCACTGTATAGTTTTTTTGGCACCTCATAGAGCTTCAGAGCTAATGGATGTGTTACACAGGTCTCCCTGGATCGTATTTGACTGTGTTTCCACCCATTTGTTTTTAGCAGCATGTTCAGTCTGTGCATAAAAACCTCGAGTAAAGACACAGGAAATGAAAGGAGAACAAAAAGAAATATTGCAAAGTTTTTACATTCTGCTGAGGTGTAAAAATTGTGTGAATAAAAAGCGAGCTTAAACAGATTTAGTGAATAAATGGTAGCATACATGAAGCATGTGACTTAAAAAATGTCAGATTTGTTTGGAGTGGCAAGGATTCGAAACTTCCTCACAGAAATGTGAGATTCCCATCATGTTTTCCACAGGGTTTTCCAAGGTTTGAGCTTTGACTGGAGTCCGTTCAATGACCTTATCTTCTGAAATGCTTTAGTGGCACTGACTGCAGAATTTGCTCCACTAGCTGTTCATCTCCTCCTTTTAACTGTCTTAAATATAACTTGGTAAATCTACAGAAACACTAAGAATGAACCCGTTTTCTAGCATGGCCCAGCATGTCTCAACTATGCTGCTTATCCAATAAATAACTCTTTTTAATGATTCTACCCTGAACTAGAACACCATAATGAAATGGGTTTAGTAAGGATTTTCTCTCTTACTATTTATTGAGAAAGGTCAGAAACTGAAGGCATGCAGTCTGTCTTCAACTGAAAGAATGTACTTCAGGTGTTTAACACAACTTAAAAGTCAGTGATGTCCCAAGTTTTTTTGCATCAGTTGTCTGAGACAGAACAGCTGCTGTTACCTGCCAGTGACTGGGCTGTCACCAGGACTCCAGCATGCTTACAAGCTCTACTGCTGATTTGCCCTTTATGGTTGTGGTTTAGTTATGCTGTATTTTCAGTTTAAGTAATTCAGGTGTGTTTGGCTGTGTAGTTAAGTTGAAGTTATATACTGTAGTTGAGGTGTTTATGGCTGTCTTGTGTTTTCCCCAGAATGCAGTAGTGCAGTGCCCTCTGCTGGTAAAGAGTGGGAGGAGTACATTCAAATAAGAAGCCTGGTGGAGAAGATCCGGAAGAAACAGAGGGGTGAGGATATGTGCACAAACACGCTATGTAAACTTTTGATTTTTTTTTAAATGTATGAAATGTGTTAATTTTTATCACACAGTACCAAAGAAAAGTGCTATGGATTATGTGTCTTATTGTAATTTAATGTAAGGTATTAGTTTGTTGTGACAGAACAACATTCAAGTCGTGGACCAAAACATGTAATAATAATTGGTTTTTGCATTTTGTGTGTATTTAGGTATGTCAATAGTGTTTGAGGGCAGCAGAGAGGACTACTTCCCAGACCTGATGTCCTGGGCTCAGGAGAACGGGGCTTCCTGTGATGGCTTCACTGTGGCCAACTTTGGTATGGAGGGCTATGGCTTGCGAGCCACCAGAGACATCAAGGTCAGCTAAGCACAGTAGTGACAACTTTTTTCTTTTTTGACTTTGTATGGATTTTTGAAGTAGAATGATATATTATATTTTTGATACTATTCTGCTGTGCCACAGACCTAAATAAAAATCACAACAGTTTTATGTAAAGTACCAGACCCCCCATTAACAGCCCATTGGCATTAACAGTTTCAGTTCAGTTCAGTTTTGTTTGTATAGCGCCAAAATGACAACAAAGGTCATCTCAGGACACTAAGGTCTAGACCTTACTCTTGTTGTTATTATTATTATAATAGAGAAAACCCCAATAAATCCCCCTTGAGCAAGAACTTGGCGACAGCAAGGAAGAAACACTCCCTTTAACAGAAGAAACCTCCGACAGACCCCAGGTCTTGGTGGGCGGCCTTCTGCCTCGACCTGTTGGATAGAGGAGAGAGAAGATAAAGAAAAGAAACAGGACACAGCAAACATGACAACAAACAATCAAATGCTGGTCAGGCCAGGGCAACCTGCAGAAAGGTACAGGGAGAAAGAGAGGACACTACGGGAGAGAGGAGACACACAGTTAGTGACACCAAGTGTAATAAGAGCTGAAGAATTAATATTACCTATATGAACAAGATTTATTGCTCAAAAGGGACAGTACATGCAACACAGTCACACAGATACGTTGGCTGTTTTCAGAGCTTAACAGTATATTTAGGTTTGACGAACAGTAACCTTAACCATGAGAAACAGCAGTGCTACATTACTGACACTCTCCAGGTGACAGACACACAGCAGAGCCTCTCCTACAGTGCTGCTAGCTCAGCTACACCTCAGGTATCTGTACAGTGACTCTCAAAAGGACATAAACCTGCTTGTAGTGACTGTCAGAGCTTGATTAGAGTCTGTTTCTCCAGCAGAGAAAAGAACACGTCAACAAATGCTTCCCAGGATTGTTAGCTTTGACTCTATCAGTGTTACTGTGTGAGCAGTGGTCAGTGTCCTCTGACCCTCCATGTCACACATTACGTAGTGCCGAAGCCCCCCCCTCTCGTTGCTCACTTCTCTTTTGCACCTTTTAAATATGTTGGGAGGCAACATGCGTATTTATGGGAAGGGAAGTCAGAAGAGACAGACTAACACTCTTTGGGCTTTGGATGGTCTTACTGACTCACAATATAAATGTGATCATTTATTATAAAATAGCTGGCAGATGTTCGTGTTGATAGCAGTTCTTAAGGGAGTGAAGAGTGTCAATCATTTTGTTTCCATTCCTACATTTAAGTGCAGTCCTGGCTTACAGTATGAGCTTCTGGCTAAATAAAAGGAGCTCCTGCCACCTGTTGCATCATGTTGGAAAAATATATGTAATACTAAAGCTGTTATTGTGTTTATGTGTATGCAGGCAGAGGAACTCTTCCTGTGGGTTCCCAGGAAGATGCTGATGACAGTGGAGTCAGCCCAGAACTCTGTACTGGGTAAGAACTTCAGATGATGAGTTCATAAAATCAAAGTATTTGTGAGGAAACTGCACCACTCCAGGAGCAAATATGAATTGTTTACAACAAAGAAAAATATGATAAAAGAAGAAAACACCCAAAGGAATTCCATTAAATCTTCTTTTAGCTTTAGGAAGCAGCAAAACATGGAACTTGTTTGAATAAATACTGTTAGGTCAGTGTGACCCCAGTCCTGTTTAGATGCAGCATAGGGCTGCATAATAAATTGCTTTGTTGGCTTGATTTAGATCCCTGTGTGATCTCAGTCTCATGTGACAATGACTATGCCGTGTTTGCATTAGCAGTGAGATCCCTTGCATCAAATTAAGCTCTCCCTTTTCCTTGCTGAGTTAACTAATAACCACAGAGTGATTTATTTCTGCCTCAACTGCTATTCGGTGCTAGGTGTATAGGTTAGGCAGTGCAACATTTGAAAAATAGTTGCAGAATATCTTTCACACTATCAGACATGTTGGATTTGTTTTTGAATCAGCCTCTCTTCCAGTCTATATCTTGTCACATGATGTAATGCATT